CTTCTGCGGGTGGTCTTGGGCTGATGGGGATGTGGGGGGCGGGGGGCGGGGGCTGGGCTGCAGGAATAGCCACACCTGAAGGTCTGAGTGCATGCCCAGTCCTGGAGTCCGGGGCGCTGAACGCTGCCTCTGGCAGGGCTGTGGCTGTGAGGTTACCAGGTGGTAGCAGAGGCGCTGTCCACGGGGCTGTGACCCCTAAAGTGCCTGTCCCTCCTGGGCTTTGGGTTGCTGGTCGGGCATGTGCTGGGCTGCTCCCACTGCCCAGGTTGGGGGGTGTGGGCAGAGAAGGAGCAATCTGCCCCCCACCACCACAGGCTGGCTGTTTCACCCCCAGCTCCTGACCGCCAGACCCACAGAGCCACATGTGGGGAGGGGTGCTTCTCCCTGTGCGAGGGGTCTCTGACCAGCTACCCCAAAATAGGATCCCCAGGACAGCTTTACCCACAGTAGTGAACAGTAGGGATTCAGGCCAGAGCCCAGATGCTCCTGTGGTCAGCTTCCTGAGCTGGACGGGGAGGAAAACCGGGGGACAGTGGGAGGAAGAGAACAGGTGGAGACAGAGCCCTGGCTCCAGCATAAGGGCTACAAGCGCAGTTATATGAGATGACCCAAGGCTACCAGGAGATCCAGAGACCCTGAAGCTGGGCGGGTGGGTGGGAGTGGATGGAAAAGGGCAGAAACCAGTGCTGGGGGCCCCGCCCCCTTCTCAGCTGGAGCTGGGGATGGAGCAGGGCTGCATGGGGACAGAGTGTGCTGCTCACACTTCTCTAGAGAAGCAAGCAGGGTGGCTCTTCTGGCTGCCAGAGGAGGGGCAGGAAAGGTGGGGACTATGCAGAGCCCGGGGAGGGGGGGGGGAAGCTCCCCAGTGGGGTGCATCTTGGGCATGCAGCCTCTGGCTATCTGGCTGGAGGAGCAGAGCCAGGTCCTAGAGCTCCCTGAACCCCCAGGGAGCCATCCGTGTACAAGGTCATGATGGGTAGTGACCCATAAGGCAGAGCTGCCGGGGACATTTGTCTCCCTAGGACTGGTCAGATGGAGCACTTGTTTCTGGGGCCCAACTCTCCCTCACCCTCTTCCCTAATACGGCCTCCTCAACTGAGCAGGCAACAACCCCAGATGGACCAACATGTACAGAGAGGTGGAATCAGAGCTATGGGCATCAGATCTCAAGGGCCCAGATGGCTTGCCACAGCCCAACCCAGCCAGGTCCAAGAGCAGCCCAAGTCAGGGGAAGTGGGAGGGGATAAGCCTCGGGACTGGCCCCAGTGATTCCCCAGGAGCGGTTGACCTTCAGACACCCCTGTCCCAGGGAACAAGGCCACCCCTCCTGGCTTGGACTCAGCTCAGCACAGCTCCGTGACCCCACTCTCGTGCAGCACCCTGCCTGGGCCATTGGCTACACCCTGAGTGGCATGTCAGTATCGCCCCAGCCCTCCATGACCCCTGTCCTCCCCAGCACACCCCAAATTCTCTCACTCGGCTAGGGATTCCTAGCCTGCAGTCAAGCCGGTTCTCCCCCACCCCAGTCTGGGCCTCATCATGTCTCTCACACATGATCCAGATCCAGAGGGATCAGGCTGTCCTGTCCTTTTTTTTTTCTGAGACAGGAGGGGGCTCTCCCCCAGGGTGGGTCAGCTCACTTTGGTTCTGTGACCTCTCAGGGCACGGTGCACACCAGCAGCCATTTAAAACTCAAAGACCACCCCTTGCGAGTGCTAGTCCAGTGCCGGAGGGCCTCAGTCAGTGAGGACCAAGGCTTTACTGGCTCTAACCCAGGCCCTGCCTGGAAGAAGGGGGCCTCCCTGTGTGGAGAGCTCCCTGAGCTTCTCCTTGGAAGAGGCTAGCAACTCTCCCTTCTTTGCCTCCCTCCCGGAGCACCCCCACTTCCACAGATCTTTCCTACCCGGATCCATCTACTGCTGACACCTCCCCAGAGCGGTGAGTGGGACAGGATGTTGTCCCCATTAGACAGAAGAGAAAAGCAAGACCTGGAGAAAGGAAGGTGGCAAGGCCAGGACCTAGGGCCCGACTCCCACTGCAGGGCTCCTTCCAGGTCTTTTAACTGCCATCCTGTGAGAGCCTACATAAGGGCAGGGTGCCTACGCTCACCAAAGCATCCACTGGTTGCCCAGCTGCTCCACCTTCCAGATCCTCAAGACCCTGAAGGCACTGAGAGGGGTGTCTGAGCCAGGGCTTCTAGCCTTGGTTCCAAAGTGGCCCCCTAAATGTTTACCTGGACTGGCAGAAGACTGCTGGGGTGAGGCTGCAGAAGGCAGGCAGAGGGGAGCTGGGAGGGGCTCCCCAGCCTAGTGATGCACCTCTCTCTCATCTGTGGCACCTCTTCCACCTCCTGGCATGTCCCCCTGGCATCCCCCATCCCTGCAGTAAAGAAGGTCCCAGCACCTGAGTCCTAAAACAGCCTCCCGGCTGATCCTTGCCAAAATCCCAGGAGACTTGTCACCACCATCCATGGGAAGTCTCACCCACTCAGCCAGGCACACAAAGCCCTTCATGTTGGCCTCTGCCAGGCTTTATGGCCTCCTTGTCCAACTTGCTTCACTGTATCCCCAGTAGGTTGACCACACCAAACTGTGTGTCCTCACCCGGGGGTAGAGGGGAGCACAGCTCAGATGCCTGTTCAGGAGCTGGACACACACATGCCCACATGCATCCCCACGCACACATATACAGATATGCAGACAGATGCAGACACGACCTCTGTGCAGAAGCCCATCACCCACGTGCACGTGGTTTTCTACCAAATCATACATGCAATGGAACTGTGAAATCTAAACCAAAAAGGGACCAACAAATCTGTTTTATGGTTCCCAGAGAGGCCAAGCATGGTCACGTCACCATCCCCAAGCCCTTGAAGGGCAGCGGGGAGGCAAGAAGGGATCCCTGACTCTGGCTGAGCTCTCTCTGGGCCCCAGGGTCTCTGAGCCCCACAGGGTGGGCAAGCAGGTCCCGACCAGGCTTTCTGGTTCTGTGGCAGACTTGCTGGGCAGCCCCAGGCAAGCCACCTTCCCTATTTCTCCAGCCATAAAATAAGGGGACTTGGATTAGCTGATACCTAAGGGCTGTCCAGGCCCACTGCCCAGCTCTTTTTAGTTCATGCCAAGTACAGAGAACGGAAGGGCCTGTAAAGGTGGCAGCAGTGAGGGGGGGCTGGGCACACCGCATGGCAAAAGCCTCCAGGTGGGCCGGGAAAGCTGCAGGGAATGGAAATGAGGTGGGCGCAAGGGCAAGAGGAACCTGAGCCAGGAGAGACAGAAGCCAAGAGCCACAGGATGGGAATAATTATTATGACCCATAATTGAAATTTATGGAGCAAATAATAAGTCCTATTGAACATTCACCATGCAGCGTTTATCTCATATTTTCGTCTAGATTGAGGCCAAATATATCTGTTCTCATCTCGGGGATATCAAATGAGCAAAGCTAATGGGTTAGGCCCGATCCAGGCCCTGGCCTCCCAGCCCCCACAAACACAGACATAGGGCAAGGGTCAAAGGGACACAGGGGTACCCTCTGGCAAGCCCCCACCCACACCCAACCTCCTCAGCAGGCATGTAAGCAGCCTAGGGCACAAGCAGCAGCCCGGCCCTACCCCTGGCCACCCACGTGTGTGTGCTTACAGGCCACCCCCCCACACACACTGTGGACAGGACAGACAAGTACTGCCGCAGGCCCTGCCCTCCTGTCCTGCTTTTGCCTGTAACTTGACACCCCACGCTAATGCTCGTGCTCCCAAGGGCAAGAACTGAAACAGGAGGTTGTCAGAGGAGGAACAGGGCACAGGTACTTCCACGTAGGGACCATACCCCCTAGACTGTGACCCCGCAGTCAGTGGAAACGCCGTGCCGGTACAGAAGGGAAGGAAGCGGTGCCCTGCATCAGAGGGGTGCCAACTCCCCTCTTCCCTGAACCTCCCTGACCTCCAGAGCCTGGCTCACGTGACTCACCTCGCCTGTCCTCAGGTCATGAGCCATCTGCAAGCCGGGCTGTCCAGAGCCCAAGTGGGTAAGGGAGACTCTTCCCCGGGGGAGGGCGTGCCAGCCCAGGTCCCACACCGTCAGAGAGGAGGGCACAGACGGGCTGGAGGAGGGGCCGGCAGGAGCAGCCCCAGGCCTCGCTGTTCTCTATGGCTTTTTATTCCTATGTGATTTTACTGCTCACTCATATAGGGATTGGAGCCGTGGCGTACGGCGGGGGCGGCCAACGGAGGGCTGGGATCCTGAGCGAGGGGGCCCGGAGAGAGGCAGGACAGCAGCCCCGCCGTCTCCCAGCGCAGGCCGCTAGCCTAGCCGAGGGAACCTTTCCTCTGTTGCTCTCTTCCCCACTGACCTCCTCCCTAGCCAACAGTAACGGGGGTGCGCAGGGGGCTGCTGGACCCCCTCAGTACTCTGACCCACCATCTCAGCACTAGAGACCCCCACTGCAAGGCTGGCACCAGGAACTGCACTGTGTCCCGAAGCAGCAGCTAAAGAAACTGGGACGTTCAGCCTGAGAAAATGGGCCTGACACAAGGAAACAAGGTCCAGAATCCTGTGTGGCTCGGAATAGCCCCTGGATACACAAAGGGCAGCTCAACCAACGGTGTGGTCTGTCCCTAAGGGCTGTCCAAATACAGAAGGCGAGGACAGCCTTAGTGGCTAGTGGGCTTGTACCCAGCAAGGTTTGCAGCAGAGCCTGGAGACTGAAATAGGGGTGCCACAGGGGAGTCACAGTTGGGACGGGTGGCCCGCCCCGCTCAGACCCCACAGACCGCAGTCCTTCGGCCTGTCCTCCCGGGGGTCTCTGCTGGCCCACACTGCGTGTGACAAAGCCAAGCTCAACCTTCCTCAGCTCCTGTTTCAGTGAGACAGGTGCTGAGTGTGTCCTGCAGAGAAGGGTATGGGGAATGCCTGTGGAGTCCTAGAGCTCGGGCTGCAGCCTGACCCCACTCCTTTTCCCGGCAGCTCTGAGTCTTTGCTCTGAGGGAAAACACACGGAGAACCCACAGTGTGGTTCTTTTTATTTGCAGTCCTTCTCGCTTCACCCCACAGAAAAGACACTCAAGAGCTTGGCAGAGGGGCTGCCCGCTGTGGGGGAAGACCAAGAATAGCAAATGGGCCAAGGGACTCATCCCAGTCCTCAGGGTTAGCTGCTGTCATGGCAGAAAGGGGGGAGAGGAGAGAGCCCCCATCTGCCAGTCTGGCTGGCGGAACGAACACAGAGCAGAGGCCCTGAGTATGAGGTGTCAGGGTCACCCAGGCAGCCAGCACCAAGGAGAGAAGGGGCCCTCAGGCCTGCTGAGGCCTTGGGGACCAACCCTGGTCTGCCCCAGGCTGCTACCCCGTAGGTCTCCTCTGTACTCCTGCAACATGACCTACGCCATCACCGCGGCCGCAGCAACAGGAGGTGAGCGTCCATGACGTTGGTGCCAGTCAGCCCCGTGTGCAGCAGGTGCACCCCGCCGCGGAAGCAGCGGAAGAACGTATGTGAGTCACTGCGGGACAGGAAGGAGGCCACGTCCAGGCCCTCAGCGGCAGCCTGGCTGGCAAGCTCAGGCACGACCCACGCCCCGGCTGCCTCCGTGGGCCCATCCTGCCCATCGGTGCCACCACTCAAAAACAGCACATCTACGGGTCCCGGTGGCCACCGTCCCAGCTCTGCTCCAACACGCAGAGCCAGTTCCTGGTTCCGACCACCCTTTCCCGAGCCCTGCAACTGCACGGTGGGCTCGCCACCAGCCAGCAGGCAGATGGGGCCCCCAGCCCCCACCACGGTCTCCAGAGCCTCCTTTAGCTGCAGGTCCGGGAGCTGGAGCTCAGCTGCCAGCTGGTGGAGTTGTTCCTCCTGCTCCACGGAGGCTGCAGTCCCAGGCGGGGTGAGGTGGGCTCCAGCCACTCGGGCGAGCAGCCCGTAGAACTGGGCCACGCTTTTCACATCGCCCTGTATGGCTGCGCTCAGCACCACGGCCCGGTACCCCAGCGCCTCGGCCCGCTGCTGGGCCTCAGCCAGTGCCAGTGCATTGGAGCCGATGATCACGTTGAGCACGTGGCCACAGGTGTGCGGCCCGTGAGGGTCAGAGTCAGCCCGAGCCAGCACAGTCTTCACGGAACGTGGCAGGGCTGCACGAAGGCCGTAGCGATTGAGGATGTGCAGGCAATCTTGCACGTTGTGGACGCTGGCCACTGTGGGGCCGCTGGCGATCACCTCCACCGGGTCCCCCACCACATCTGACAGAATCAGGCTCACCACCTGGGGAGGCGGCACAAAAGCAAGGCTCAGTCCCTCCGGGTCCTCACCCCACAGCCATCGAGAACAAGCAGCTACCCATCCCCTGCCATGTGTCCGCACAGCCTCAGACGGCCCCGGTGCGTTTCCTCACCCTTTCCTAACCCCTCTCCAGGGGGTCTGCAGAACACGTGCCATTTGGACACCCCACCCCCATCCGCTCGGAGGCCCCTCCCAGCCAGCCCCGTGGATTCCTACGCCAGGCCCCTGCCAATTTGTATGCCGTTCCAGGCTTTTGTCTCCCTGGCACGTGTGGTCTGGCTCCAGCAGCCCAGGGCTGCCTAGGGTAGCAAGGACCCACGCACCTGGGCAGGGTAGGCGGCCTGCGCCAGCCCCCCACCCTTGAGCTGGGACAGCGCCTTCCGGATGGTGTTCAGCTCCTGGATGTTGGCCCCGCGGGCTGCCAGCAGCTTGGTGAGTGTCTGCTTTTCCTCCAGTGTCACGGGGGGAATAGGCGCGGGCAGCAAGGCTGAGCCCCCACCTGCAGAGACAGTGAAGAAGTTGGGCAGAGGGGATAAGACTGCAAAAGAACCTCCCCACTTAAGGAAGCAGGCAGGAAGTACCCACATTAGGGAAGGGGCTGCTGGAAAGGTGGGGTTAGGGTGCCCCCGTGTGGACATGCAGGGACCGTGCGTACAGTCACCACACCCTGGGCTGTGCCCTGCCTTGGAGCCCAGGTCCCAGCAGGCACTAGAAGAACTATTCACATTAAGAGCTTGGAATAGGGAGTAGACCAGGAGGAGACAGCGAGACCAAGGATGGGCTCCGTGGGAGCTAGAGACCTGGGTTCTAGCCCCAGATCACACTGACACAGATAACAGAAACAGCAGGGACGTTTTACCCCTGCGACACCCTGAGTTATATGCTCCCTATATGCCCTCTTATGGTCGCCAAACAAGGTCATTCTGGGGAGGACCCCCAGCTCGGAGGAGGCCAGATAACCTGCCCAGGGCCACCCAGAGGTCAGCCATCCAGGCCCTTTACTGCCTCCCTTGCTCTGTGACCCTGGGGGCTCAGACCAACCATCTCTCGCAGACCTGATATTTGGGACCACCACCACTGCCCCCTAAACTGTCCTGAGCCAATCTGGCACCCACACCTGAGATGAGTACAAGCAGCAGATCGTCAGCCGTGAGACCTTCAGCCAGCTGCCGGATGGCCAGTGCAGCCCGAAGTGCATCACGGTCTGGCAGGTTGTCCTCTGCACCCTCAAATACCTGGACACGGCTGTGTGGCTTCAGCAGCATCTCCCTGAAGAGAGAGAGAGAGAGAGAACAGACAGCAAGAGATGGGGCGGGTTCCCCTCCTCCCACCTGATTTCTCAGCTGTATAGGTGAAGAATGCCAACTGACACCCATCCCGGAGCCAGTCCAGACCCAGAAGAAAAGGGATGCTGGTGAGGGAGGGAGGCCTGCCTGATCCAGAGCCAAGTTTGGGCCTCGCTTCCCCCCCACCTGGGGACAGTGGGCAGCAGCCCCCCAAGGCTCCTTACTGCTTGCCAGCATGCTCCATGGCAGCTCGGATCCCCTTGGGCACGCTGATCACACCTTGCACGAGATGCTGGCCCAGGAGCTCCTCAGCTGCAGCGGCCATGCCCAGCACAGCCTTGCCAAAGCCCACCAGGTGGAGGTTTTGCCGCAGTTGAAAGCTCCGGTCCCGCACCTTCAGCAGCCCGCTGCCGGGATCCAAGGACAGTGCCCGGTGCAGCATGGGGCCTGGGAGCATGGCACCCACAGTGCTCTCGAAGAGCTGCTGAGCCTGCTCTGCCAGGGCCATGCCACTGGCCTGCCGGACCACTGGGCCCCCCGAGAGGAGCGGGCGAAAGGGGGCTCGGGCCACGCAGGGCAGAACCTGCAGGACTGCAGCCATGCCCCACTGCTCTCAGCACCACCGGGCACCCATGGCTGCCTAGGGGGAAGAAAGCACTAGTGAGGCTGCTGCAAGACCAGAAACAGACGCCCCCCCCCCCCACAGCCACCTCTCTGAGGGCTTGGGGCCGCTGGACCCCACAGCGGCTGCTGCAGTGGGCCAACTGGCAGGCCAAGACTTTCTGAGGCCCTCAGCTGCCTGATCTCACTCCAGTTCTCAGAGCCCAAGCCTGCCATCTACCATGTCCTCCTCTTCTGCAGGCTATCCTCTAACCCTCTGGACACTCTGTCCTGAGTCCAAAGGTCCTGTTAGCTGAGCCCTCCCCCTAGGCCACCCGCTCTGGCTGGAGAGTTAATCATTCACAGAGGGAGCAATTCCTATCAGTGGGCTCCTGCCCCACCCCTTTTCCACCCCCTGCACTTCGGAGCGTTCCTCCAGGGGCAACGCCCCTTTCTGGCACTCCTTCCTTGCATCTTTACCACTTCTGTTGCCAAGAGGCTGCTGGCTGTCCCACCGACTGACCCCGAGCCTGATGACCTGCAGCCTGCTCTACGTCATTAGCTCGCGGATCTTGGCTGGGGAGCCTGGGAAGGCTAGGTTTGTGTGGGGAGGCTGCAGGCTCACAGGAGCACTGATAGACAGGCTCAGAGCACATCCTCAGGACACATAGCCTGCGGAATCCCAGCACTCAAGGCCAGTTCAGCAAAACGTTCAGGTTCAAATGAGAAGTGGCAGCAAAGACTGGCTCATGCTGGGACCTTAGAGAAGTCACTAAACACCACATTGAGGCCACGTATCATGGGGCCCAAGCTGGACAGAAAAGGACACCCTTCCACCTGCTTGGCTGGCCAGACCCAGCCCTGCCAAGAAAACGCCTTTCGCTCCCACATAACAAGACAAGTCTTGGGTCACACCATCCGCAGGAGTGAGAGCCGAGTGTCTAGAGCAGGAAAGGCCAGCCTCCCACAGCTGAGGCCAAATAGTCATTTTCCCCACTGGGCAAGGTAAAGGCTAAAGAAGACTGGGGGTGAAAGTCAGGAGGCTGTAAAGGAGTTCAGGGACAATGAAGCCCCAAAGAGATCATCTCTAAAAAAGGCATCCACTTCTGCTCTCGCTGTCTCTCTCTGTCAAATAAATAAAATCTTTAAAAAAAAAAAAAGGCATCCACTTTAGTGATGCCCACCATAAATACCACCGGCTGACTGCAGCAGCAAGCGTGGACAGAGCAGGGGAAGGAGGCTGGGAAACAGGCTCCAGCTCTACCACAAAGACAGCTCCTTTTCTTTCACTGGACCTCATGTCAAAAATGAGAGGTGGGATGAAAGTAAGACTAGTGCTCTCCCCTTGACATCCTTGGCCTCTCTGATGCTGCCCACTGTCAACACAGAAAACTTGAACCCCAAACACTTTATCCCACACTCAAAAAACCTAACAACGTGTAGCCCTCAGTCACTTAGCCAGCATGGTTCTCAGCTTTCCCATAAGACCAATACTGCCTGACTCCAGCCCTGAAAGGGAACACAGAGGGTGCCGCCATAGGAACTCAGAAAATGGGCTCCGCTTTTGCCAGGAAGCCCCTGGGACTGGCCCCATTGGACTAGGAACCAAAGGCAGCTTAGAATCTAGCAACAGCTTGACAGCCTGGGTGAACTCTGTACCTGTTTCCCAGATGGACACTAGCCTAGAGGATCCCAGCCTGGCCACGGTATACCAGGGCCCAGGGAAGGGGGGGGGGGAGAATGGGGTGTCTTCAAGGCTAAGGTTGCCAGTTAAAATATACGACGTCCAGTTAAATTTGAACTTCAGATAAACGAGGAATTTAAAATATAAGTATGTTCCATACAATATTTGAACATACCTACACTAAACTATTTGTTGCTTATCTGAAATTAAAATTTAACTAGACGTCCTGTATTTGTATTTGCTAACCAGCCACTCTCTACCCAGGGCACCCTCCTAAACGCCCAGGTGCTTCAGAACGAAATGCGGAAACACCGAGAAGACCCTCCTTGACTCCGCCCCGCCACCAAGTGGGACTGGAGCCACTTCCGGCCTTCTCCTGCCTGCACGTGCCCCGGAAGTAGCGTCAGCCACAGGCCTTTGCCAGGGAAGTGGCTGCCGCGTGATGTCCGGTGGTGACCCGAGGAATAAGTGCCCGCCGCCACCTGGACCGCCACTGCCTCGCCCAAGGACTGCTTCCGTGGGCCCCCGCGCCGTGGACTCACCGCTCCACGGCTCAGGGACGCGGCTTCCGGTGCCGGAGACCGGAAGTACTCACGGGTGGGCGGAGCGGAATCCGGAAGTGTAGGGTGGGAGGGGCGGAGTCGGGGTGCCGGCGCGAGCTGCGGTGGGACTCCGGTGCGGGGGGAGCAGAGGGGTGGAGACTGAGGGATTGGCTCCGCCCTGAGCTCTGGGAGTCTTGGATGGAATCACCTTCGGGCCTCGCTGCCTTCATCTCTGCAATGGGGCAACGAATCCTGACTCACCGATTGCCGTAACCGTCCCCTCCTTTATCCCGTAGGATCCCATCAGTCAGCACGTACATTCCTTGCTCCTATTAGGCGCCCGGCACTGGACTGAGCAAACGGGCTGAGAATTACTACTTCCCCACAACCCACCCCTTCTGGAGCCAGATTAAATCATCCTGGCTCTTCCCCAACGCTGTAATCCCCCAACAACTTTGTGTTTGCCTCTCTCCCCCTTGGCCAACCTAGTAACAGCTCGGACTCGGAAAGTTCTATTCCGTGATCCTTTAACACACAAGCTGTGTGAACAACGAATGACCCTGGGCCTCCCTGACTCTCCGCTCTCAGACTGTGTCCACCCTTGAGCTCGACTTGATGCCTTCCCACATTCAAAAGACAAGTTCTGACCAGACTCTAAAGACACAAAAGAGTGCACTTTTTTTTTTTAACTGATGTTTTCTTGGGGAGAGAGGGAAGGGAGTTACATCACAAATCACACAGCAGACTTTCTAAAAATCTTAAAACATATCCCCCCCCCGCCTCGCTTTTGCAATTGCCACATCTCTCCATATCGTGCTCTGCTCTCCCGAGCTCCTACCTCCTTCCTAGCTGTTTGCCTGGATTTTTCTTTCCCTTTATAATAGAGGACCTTTTTTTCTTATCATTCTCTCCCAAACTTCCCCACTCCATCGTCAAAACAAAGGCACTTCTTTAGATGTGGGGAGATTGTAAATACTTAAAAGTTTGGCTTTTCTTTGCTTATAGTAAGAAGTCTTTATCAATTGTGAATTTATTCATTCCTGCATCATTCAAGGGACATTTCCTGACCTATATGGGTCAAATGGTATAGCTACTGGGATGAATAAGAAGTGGTACTTTTAGTTGGGAATTTTACTCTGCTTTTATAATGACAGTCCCACACTGCCGGAAGGAATGTGTATTTGAGGACCTCTTTTATTATTTACTGCCAGAGACTCATGAACAGACACCATTTACTATGCCAGCGCTGTTCTTCTGTCAGACTGTAAGCAGGAATACACCCATTTGTGAAATCCCCCATCCCACCCCACAGCTACTCACAAGATGTATTTAACATCAAGGTTTAGATGCCCACTGGACTGTGAGTTCTTAGAAGGTGATGACTTGGTCTAATTCGTATTTGCATCTCTACTGCCTTACATAGGACCAGGCACTAATAAAAGCTGGGATTTCTAATTCCCCCCACCTTTCTTTCTTTTTTTAATGAATTAACAAGAGAACAGTGAAGTACTCAGCTGCAAAGTGCTGCAGACCCAAGGTGGAAAGAATTTCACAAAAGGAAAAGAGATGGTGGTGAATAGAAGGTGAAGCCTTCATGAAGCAGTGGGATTTAAGTCTAAGAAAACAATTAGGCTCATTAGACTGTATACACATACCTTGAGAGTAGGCGTGAATATGTCTATCATCTTTTTTTTACAATGTTAGCTATTTTATTTTTTCTAAGATTTTATTTATTTATTTACTTGAGAGAGAAAGAGAGCATGAGCAGAGGGAGGGGCAGATAGCAGACTCTGCTGAGTGTGGAGCCCAAAACACTCCATCCCAGGGCTTCATCCCAGGACCCTGAGATCAAACCCGGAGGGGAAGCCAGATGCTTAACTGATCGAGCCACCCAGGCATCCCTGTCTATAGTCTTTTTAAGTGCACTTGGGCAATAAGTATCAACGTCAAAAATGTGACAGGCGACTTCAGTCCAGGGAAATAACTGGATGTATAGACAAAGATAATGTACGGGTGGGGTGCCTGGGTGGCTCAATTGGTTGAGCATCCATCTGACTCTTGATTTCGGCTCAGGTCATGATCTCATGGGTTGTGAGATCGAGCTCCACATAGGGCGCGTACACGCTCTTTCTCTCTAAAAATAAATAAATAAATCTTAAAAAAAAAAAAAAGATGAGGTAGGGGAGGAAAAAACCTTGTCCCTCTATTCTCTTAGGTTCAGTGGCTGAGGCCCTGGGACAAACTAAACTGACGGAAGACAGATTAAAGGAGAAAAAAGTTTATTTAAAAGTATATGGGGGGAGGGGGCTCACAGAAATGAAGTAAAAACCCCAAAGAAGCCATTAGGCCTGAGAGCTTATATACCATTTTTAACAAAGAGAGATAAATTTGAGAGATGTGATAAGACAAAAGGAGTTCGAACTTCTCGGGGCAGTAAATTGTGGGAAAGTAAATATATGGGGGAAACTAATGGAAGATAAGGATTACTGTAGTAAGATTTGTTTGTACAGATTCATCTTGGCCTTGGCTCTCCATCTCCTGGTACAGGCAGGACTCCTTTCTCATGGGAAATTTATGTTCTGCTTTTAGGTAGGAAGGAGGAGGACAGGGAGCCTTTTCTGCATCTATTCTCAAATGCCTTCAACTCAAAATAATCCTTATGCCAAAGTGACATATTTTGGGGTGGCATATTCTGATCCCCTTCAAATGGACATGAGATATTCAGCCCAGAGTTGTTAGGAGTATAAAGCAATCTAAAAACTCATTGATAAGAGAATTTATACAAGTAAGTTATAGTACTTCTAAACAGACATTAAAAATGGTATTCTAATGTTACTAAGGCTTACATACATGTTACTTTTTGCAATGCTATTTTATGTTTTTAAAAAAACTGTTGAAGGGCACCTGAGTGGCTCAGTTGTTAAGCATCTGCCTTTGGCTCAGGTCATGATCCCAGGGTCTTGGGATCGAGTCCCACATCAGGCTCCTTGCTCAGCGGGAAGCCTGCTTTTCCCTCTCCCTCTCCCTCTCCCGCTCCTTGTGTTCTTGCTCTCGCTATCTCTGTCTCTGTCAAATAAATAAATAAAATCTTTAAAAATAAAAATAAAAAAACTATTGAAAAGACCATTTAAGGGGCGCCTGGCTGGCTCAGTCGGTAGAGCACATGACTTATGATCTCAGGATTGTGAATTCAAGCCCCCCATTGGGTGTAGAGCTTACTTTAAAAAAAAAAAAAAAAAGACTATTTAAGTCAAATATAAGCCTTCCCCATTATTCAAGCAAGCCGAAGGAGAGAAGGCAATGTACTAGGGTAACATTACTCATACCTTATTGAGGGAGGGTTTACTGAATTTATTCATTCAGATTAAGCTTTAATTTAAATGTTCCCATTTAGAGGAAAGGAGAAAGTCATTTCTGGGTGATGTTAGGTCATCAGTGACCAGGGGAAGGTGGCAGTAATGGTGCCCATTCTCCACTAACAGTGCTGAATCTCAGGAGTTCAACAGGTATAAAGTACTTGGTCCCTATAACTCTGAAATCACCCTCCCACTCCGGCATACAAGCTCAAGAGGGTCATTGGGGTAGTGAATGGTACAAATTCGTGAGAACAGCGCTCAGTCTTGGGCTTTCTGACTTGGAACTTTGCTATAAATAAGTCCTGCTTGTCGAAGAAGCTGATTACACATGACTGCAGCCATCTGAGGTTTCAGATGCCTGAGGAGGTCTGGAGTGTTACTGCAAGCTGTCAGTCCAGCAGAGCCAGCAGCCATCCCCCTAAATTACCTGCTCCTCTATCGACATTCACCCTGCTGTCCTCCAACCTCAAACCACGGTGGTGGTTACTAGCTCTATTTACCACCTAAGTCCAGTTCTCTCCCCCTCCAGCACTTCCTGGCCCCCTTGTCGTTGAGAAGTGTCATTCAACTAATTCTGGCCAATGAGTAGCAAGTGGAAGTGGTGTGATTCATTTCTGGGCAGTTAACTGCCCAAGTGAGGCCTTCCTGAGCATTTTCCCTTTGGACTTGGCCAACCGACAACATTCAAGATGGTGGCTTCTTTGCCAACCTAAGACCTGAGTGACTGATGGGAAGAGCCACCCTGCCAACCTAGAAAGGACAGGTATTGAAAGTGGAAAATAAACCTTTGATGTTTAAAGCCACTAAGATGTGGGAGAGAAAAAAAAAAAGCCACAAAGATGTGAGGGTTTGTGTTATTGCACCATAACTCAGCCTATGCTGGTTGATATGCACACTTTATCCTGTTGCAACTTGGTTTCAGAAATCAGGACCTGCATCTCAGAATCTTGATCTACTCTTGATACCTTTATCATCTGGAAAATGTTGGTTCTCACTGGCATTCATCTTGCTAGATGCACCAAGAGCTGAAGAACATCTTGCTGTGCATTCATAAATTCAGGAGAGTCTTGTGCACTAATCAATACCACAAGGCAGGAGCACAAAGCAGAAAGCAGCTTCCATGAAGAGAAATTCTTTGCATCCGTCTTGGGTTTCTGTGGCACGGCAGATTTTTAGTCCATCAGTTCATGTGGTTTCTGGAGTCTTCCTCCTTTATTGCATTTTAATTGTGACTAGACAAAGATAAATGATAGCAAGAATTCAGGACCAGCAAGAAATGTAAGATTGATGTAGAACCAAAAATAGTGAATAGGAACGTTTTCAGTCTTTTCTCCAGTAAGATGCACTCAGTTTGGGGATTCAATCAAGAAAGTATTGTGAATTATTATACTGCATCCATAAGAGAACCTGTAAAATGTTCTGCCACCTTAAAATCCACTGTGAAGGGGCACCTGGGTGGCTCAGTCGTTAAATGTCTGACTTGAGCTCAGGTCATGATCCCAGGGTCCTGGGATCGAGCCTGGCATCAGCAGGAAGCCTACTTCTCCCTCTCCCACTCCACCTGCTTGTGTTCCCTTTCTTGCTGTCTCTCTCTGTCAAATAAATAAATATTTTTAAAAAAATCCACTGTGAAAATAAAGTAGTGATTTTTAAAATTTATTTATGCAAAACCTGAGATAAGTCAGAGGCTCTCCGTCCTCAACTCGAGGTAGCTGCCTCCTCAGGGAGGCACTCCTGGTGTCTTGGCCTCCCTTCCCACTTGTCCTTGACATCCTGGGCCTTTTCCTTAGCATTCAGCCCCTAATGCCTCACAGAGTTGGCACCGAGGGGTAGAAGAGCACCCTTTTCAGGGTTTCCAGGGCCAGCTCTGCAGTGACCTTCCACCCTCCACCCTTGCCCTTGTCTCTGCAGTGCTGGACACTTCTCTGGGGCAGGCCCAAGGTGGGGTGCTCTGGGAGATGCAGAGCTCTGATGTGGGGATGGCGGAGTGAAGGGCCACTCAGTGGGAGGGAGAGGGTCAGGAGGTAGGGAGGAGCTGTGAAGGCTGTGAAACCCTTCACAGCTATTTTTCTTGGAAGGAGGTGTGGGGGATCCAAACAATGCACCCAGAAGAAGCTCATCTGTGACTGATGAGGGGCTGCTGAAGCACGAGAGGCTGAATTATCAGAAAGGGTTTTTAAGCCTTTTCACACAGTTCTGTAGGCTTAGAGGCAGAGGCCCTGGGGCTCTACGCAGTCCTTCCTGGATCTGGGCAGTCTAGGCTTATCTGGGAAGAACCCATCCCTTCCTTCCAGAACAAAAAGGCATTGTCTACCAACAATGGACTTTTTAAAATGTGAATGATTACCTACCCTTTGCCCTAGAAACAGGGCTGGAAGTTTCCAGTTAGAAATCCAGACTCTAGGCTTATTGGCTGTGTGACTCTGGGAAAGTTACTTAACCTCTCAGAACCTCAGCCTTCATCACTAAAATGGGGTTGAGCATTAAATAAACAAGTGTTTAAAGTGCCTGCAGGGGGCACCTGGGTGGCTCAGTCAGTTAAGCATCCAACTCTTGATCTCAGCTCAGGTCTTGATCTCAGGGGTTCCAAGTTCAAGCCCCACGTTGGGCTTGGGGGCTCTGCCTTCGGCTCAGGTCATGATCCCAAGGTCCTGGGATCAAGCCCCATGTTGGGCTCCCTGCTTTGCAGGGAGCCTGCTTCTCCTTCTCCCCCACTTGTGCTCTCTAGCTCTCTGTGTCTCTCAAATAAATAAATGAAATCTTTAAAAAAAATATTAAAAAAAAATAAAGTGTATGTAGAAAGGCTCCAACTTGTGGCTGGGCCAGCTTTGTGGGTATGTGGCCTGTGCAATTCACACAGGGAACCAAGGTCAGAAGGGTTCCGCACTTGAATATTGTCGAATATTCTACTGTTTCTGTCTTGCATTTCTTAAATTTTTTGAGGGGGTGTCCATATTTGTATTTTGTCCTGGGCTGTGAAAATTATGTAGTCGATCATGCTACCAGGGGGAAGATGCCCTCCTTTCAGATCCCCCTGGTCCTGGAGCTCAGGACCTCTCTGAAGAATTCCAGCAAGTGGCCACATGTTAGGAGTGCCCGAGCTCCATGCTGGGGAGACTAGGGGAAGCAGAGGCGGCACTGCGCTTCCTGAGTGAGCAATGCTGAGGCTGTCCTGAGAAAGTCTGAGCCCCCTGCTAGGACAGGCACATCCTGACCACTTGGCCCAGGAGAGCTCTTTTTTTTTTTTTTAATTTTTTTTTAAAAGATTTTATTTATTTATTTGAGAGAGAGAATGACATAGAGCTAGCATGAGAGGGGGAAGGGTCAGAGGGAGAAGCAGACTCCCTGCTTGAGCAGGGAGCCCGACGCAGGACTTGACCCCGGGACTCCAGGATCACGACCTGAGCCGAAGGCAGTCGCTTAACCAACTGAGCCACCCAGGCGCCCCCCCAGGAGAGCTCTTTAAGCAAGAGACCTAGAAACCCTCGGCTGGGCTCATTCAGTAGCTGAGGGCCAGGCTGATCGCTTGGGGAACGGAACGCTGCAGGTAATTCAGGCGGGGTACAAGCCACATGAATTAGATGAAATCAGCCCGGGGTTCCTTGGGGGAAAAAAAATCAAATGTTCTAATCGTCTAAAATGCTTTTTTTTTTTAAAAAAAAGATTTTATTTATTTGACAGAGAGAGCATAAGCAGAGGGAGAGGGAGAAGCAGGCTTCCCACTGAGCAGGGAGCCCGATGCGGGACTCGATCCCAGGACCCTGAGATCATGACCCGGGCCGAAGGCAGCCGCTCAACCAACTGAGCCACACAGGCGTCCCTAAAATGCTTTTAAGTATATATTAATTTGATCAACAGAAGGGAAAAACAAAAACAAAAAACCAGTAGAAAATATGTTTCACTGAATGAAAGCACTGCTGAGGTGCCTTTAATGCCGCAGAAGAGATTTGTAACTTCCACTTGGTGTAAAATGTTACCTCCACTCATGGCCATCATTATTTCCTCTTGGTGGTAAGTGAAATGAAGCATTCATTTAGTCAATCAGGCAATTTGTCAGGTACGAAGTGGTTCTATGCGAACTGAGTGTGACAGCTGAAGCGTGCTGTACAGTCACTGTGGGATGCAATTGTGTCCCAGCATTCTGCTCTTCCTCTGTGGCAATTATGTTCACACACACACACACCCTTCCCAGAGAAGAGCCACCCAACTCTAGGTATTGTGAGGGCTGGTTTTAAGAAGTGGAGGGGGAGTTTAGAAAACAACCTAGGGGTGCCTGGGTGGCTTAGTCATTAAGTGTCTGCCTTCGGCTCAGGTCATGATCCCAGGGTCCTCGGATCCAGCCCCGCATCGGGCTCCCTGCTCGGTGGGAAGCCTGCTTCTCCCTCTCCCACTCCCCCTGCTTGTGTTCTTCTCTCTGTCAAATAAAATCTTTTAAAAAGAACCCCCCCCGCAAAGTATGTCGCTTTGACATGTAGATTGTTTTGAGCTGAAGGCAATTAAGACCTAGCCGACTCAGGAAAAGCTTCTTACCTCTCCCTAAACTGCCTGAGGAATTCAGATACGGGGCCTGTAAAGGAAGAGAGCTGTTACCAGAGACAAATGTTTACATCAGAAAGACTTACCTGCAGGGCATGGCAAACATTTGTTTACCAACCATTTGCTTTTATCATCTTCTTATGAATTGTCTTCCTCCCCCTTGAAGCCCCAGCCCCCTATGCTTTTCTCCTTAGCTCAGGATGGTATAGAAACCTCAAGTGCCGGAGCACCTGGCTGGTTCAGTCGGAAGAGCAAGCGACTCCTGTTCTCGCGGTTGTGAGTTTGAGCCCCACGTTGGGTGTAGAGATTACTTTAAGTGAATAAATAAAAACTAAAAAACAAAAACAAACCCCTCCCAAAACCCTCAATTGCCTGACTGCCTGTAGGGGCCGAGGGCAGACTGCCCAAAATGTGCCACTTTGACATATTGCTTATTTTAAATAAAAGTTACTGAAGAGACAACCTATGCAGGAAAGACACTCAGACCTTCCTCTGTCCCCCTGAAGGCAGGAAATAAATCTCCCAGGTGAAAGACACCCTCCCTGTACCAGGACCTAAAGAGACATCCTTATCACCAGAGATGGGAAATTTAGAGCCCAGAAGGCTATATGAACAGCTCTTGTTACTTTTTACTAATTTATGACCCCAGGACAAATTCTGTTTAGAATTCCTTACTAATTGAACCTCCCAAAGTATGAAGTTTTCTTTGGTCTGTCAATTCCTCACAGATTTATTGTCTCTTTGTGTAAAAAGTATAAAAACTGCTCACCTTGGTTATTTCTTGAGGTCTCAATTCCATAACTGGGCCTCCATGCACATGTAATGAAACTTTATTTTTTTTCTCCTGTTAATCTGTCTCATGTCAGTTTAATTCTTAGTCCAGCTGGAAGAGCTTGCAAGTAAAGAAGAATTTTTCCTTCCCTTCTGTTGGCGTAGTTGCCAGGGTACTTTAACTCACTGGACATCACTTGCTCCAGATACTGCAGCCCCTGAGAGATCCTGGGACATCTGACATACAACTGGCCGAAGGTAAGATTTCGTACCATGTCAGCTTCCTGGAATCTGTGTGTGTGGAATCCAGTGGATCTAGAGTAAGAAGAATCTTTTCTTTCTCTAAATTCAGACTAGCAGAAGAAACCATGGAACAAAATCCTTGGGTTTAGCAACTCTTGGTAAAAATTTGATAGAGTAGTCTTTGGTTATTGATTCATTTTCTCCCAGCGATTGTCTTTGTTTTCCTTTCTCTGTGTCTTTTGTATTGTCATAAAAAGGAATTACCATAGGGCAGAACACAGACATAGGCCCCATAAGCTTGCTGTTCCAGCTGGCCTCAGAAAATGGCATCTCTTGAGACAAACTTTGCTGTGGATCCTCTATGTAAAGACAGGATGAGGTTTTTCCTTTTGTTTTGTTCTGTGTCCTAAGAGCTTGGCTGTGACCAGTGAGAACATTCTCTCTGGTCTCTGCCTTTGGGAGGGTATACATACCGGAGTGCACTTTGGTGGCCAGCACAACAGAGACACGCAGTTACAAGTCGCCCTCTGCCCATGACAGCTTGCAGGGGAATTTGTCATAAAAGGTCCCAGAGCATAAGGGGCCTTTGTTGTCTAACCTTCATTGCTTGTCAGTGCTGGAAAAATCCCATTCCAGTAGCACCCGCCCAGTGTCAGTTTAGCGGGTCTATGACTGGAGGCATCTCACAATTTCAAGAGAGACCGGAGACATCCTTACCTCCTGTGCAATGAAGATCTTTGTTCCTACACTAATTTTGGGAATGAACTCTTGGACCATGGATCCTGCATCATCTATGCCCTCTCTGGACGCCTCTTGCATCTTTGGGTAAGCAATTAAAAGGCTTATTGGTTTGAGTCGCTATTAATGGGTCCTATTCATCAATGGTGAGACGATAAATCCTTTAAATTGGCTATATTTGAAAAAAAAAATCCTTTACAAAGAGAACTCTTGAGATGCCTGGATGGCTCAGTCGTTAAGCATCTGCCTTTGGCTTAGGTCATGATCCCAGGGTCTTGGGATTGAGCCCTGCTTCAGGTTCCCTGCTCCGCGGGAAACCTGCTTCTCCCTCTGCTACTCCTCCTGCTTGTGTTCCCTTTCTCACTGTGTCTGTCAAATAAATAAATAAAATCTTTACCAAAGGAAAAAAAAATCTTCCAACTCTTGATCTCAGCTCAGATCTTGATCCCAGGGTCATGAGTTCAAGCCCCATGTTGGGCTCCATGCCAGGTATGGAACCTACTTTAAAAAAAAGAAAAAAAAAAACTCTCTCTTTAAAAAAGGGGTGGGGGCAGCTGTGCCTGAGTGGCTCCATTGGGTAAGCATCTGCCTTAGGCTCAGGTCTTGATCTCCCGACGTGGACGTTGGCGCCATCGGCTCCTTGCTCAGAAGGAAGTCTGCCTCTCTCTCTGCTCATGCTCTTTCTCACTTGCTCAATCTCTCAAATAAATAAATAAAATCTTAAAAAAAAAAAGATAATGGCTAGCCTTAGGATTCCCTTGACAAGAGGGGCCTCGGTGGCTCAGTTGTTATGCGTCTGCCTTTGGCTCAGGTCATGATCCCAGGGTCCTAGGATCGAGCCCCACATTGGGCTCCCTGCTCAGCAGGGGAGTCCGCTTCTCCTCCTTTCCCTCCCCCTGTTCATGCTCTCTCTCTCATCACTCTTTCAAATAAATAAAATCTTTTTAAAAAATTAGACTTGGGGCCTCTGGGTGGCTCAGATGGTTAAGCGTCTGCCTTCGGCTCGGGTCATGATCCCATGGTGCCCGGATCGAGTCCCGCATCGGGCTCCCTGCTGGGCGGGAAACCTGCTTCTCCCTCTGCCTCTGCCTCTCTCTCTCTCTCTCTGACTCTCATGAATAAATAAATAAAACATTAACAAAAAAAATTTTTTTAATAAATAAATAAATAAATAAGACAAATGACAACTAAGGTAAATTTCCTTTCTTAAAATACAGTCCTACCTGCCTATTTTAACTTCTCTTTCCCTAAAAGACTTGCAGAGAGCATTCCAGCCTAATCTCTAGGTTCAAAATATACAGGCTATTCTTGTAAATGCCGAAAGCCAGAAAGCGAATTTAGCAGAAGCACTTGGGACAGGCAGTAGGGCTCATTTTGCTGTAATCCAGTCCGCCAGCTTCAGGCATTTCTATGCAATAACCTTCACAGATGTATTGGACACCATCCCCCTACCCGCCCCCCCTACATTCCCCATTTCAAAGAGTTCATATCCCTTGAACAGCAGCAGATCTTTTAAATTATAAAGCCCTTTTCCCTCCACTTTCAGAAGATCCTACCAAATTTAGAGAGGAATTAAAAAGATTAATTGCTATTCACAACCCCACTCACAGAGACCTTGACTAGCTGCTAAGGGGAGTTCTTCTGGCCCAAGATTATACTATGGTTGTTAGACAGGCCACTCTGCCCCCTGAAGAAATCCCCCTTCACAGAAGAAACAGGTGACCAAAATTTCTCCAAGGCCCTCCTACAAATGATCTGCAAAAGGGCAATATTCAGAAACGAATAAAAGCCTAGGTTAAACTGTTAGTACTCAGAAAGAAGGCTTTTGTTAAAATGTTTTATGCAGACTGTACAAAGGCATAAATCTTTTGATTCCCATTTTAGATTTAAAAATCTCCATGATATAAAGAAACAAATTTAGTTAAAGGTTGGACAAATCCCTTGATATTCAGGCTGTAATCCAGTTCTTTCGGGAATTAACATCTTTGTCTTACAAATATCTATAAAACCAGGTACTCAATCCTAGAAACAAGTCACAGCCAAACTTGCTTTACAAACCTCACCTATTTCTCTAATAATGTTTATGGATATTATACTTTTTTTTTTTAAGTAGGCTCCTTGCCCAGTGTGGGGCTTGAACCCACCCTGAGATCAAGAGTCACATGCTCTACTGCCTGAGCCAGCCAGGTGCCTCTGTTTATGGATATTGTAAAAGATCAAGATACTGGAACAAAATTGTCCTATACTTAGAAAAAACCACTTACATTCTTTCTATGCCCCTTAAAGTTATAAATCTTATGTCTTTTAATGACATAGCCCACAACTGCCTGAGAATAAAGGGGAAAAAAAGCGGGGAGGGGAGTACGCCTTTTTAAAATACAGGTTGCTGGGGCCCCTGGGTGGCTCATCAGGCTCCCTTGCTCGCGGGAGGCCTGCTTCTCCCTCTCCTACTCCCCCTGCCTGTGTTCCTTCTCTCGCTGTGTCTCTGTCAAATAAATAAATAAAATCTTTTAAAAATAAAATAAAATACAAGTTGCTAAAAGGGCTCTTTAAGACGGCACCTCTGATAACAGGCAGATTTGCTCCAAATGTGGGACATTTTGTTCACTTCTGGATGGTCTTGCTAAAATTGATTTGTAAAAGATCTCTATTTAGTTGGTTTGAAGGCAAGTGCTTGTAAAGATTGGGCATTCTAAAACTCAGAAATCTAGACACTAACCCAAATGTTTTTCAAGGTCATGTGGTCTGGGAAGATATTTGGTACTAAAGCTAATTTAAAGTTGGTTTAATACATTTTTTTTAAAAGATTTTATTTAGGGCGCCTGGGTGGCTCAGTCGTTTGAGCAGCTGCCTTCGGCTCAGGTCATGATCCCAGGGTTCTGGGATCGAGTCTGGCATTGGGCTCCCTGCTCAGCAGGGAGTCTGCTTCTCCCTCCGTCCTCCTCTTTGCTCGTGCTGGCTCTCACGCTCTCTCATCCAAATAAATAAATAAAAATATTTAAAAATAAATAAAAGATTTTATTTACTTGAGAGAGAGCACAAGCAGAGAGGAGAGGCAGAAGGAGAGGAGGAAGCAGGCTCCCCGCCGAGCAGGCAGCCCCATGTGGGGCTCAATCCCAGGACCCCGAGATCATGACCTGAGCCAAAGGCAGATGTCCAAACGATTGAGCCACCCAGGCGCCCCTAAGGTTGGTTTAATCAAGGTAGACATGTCTTTAAAGTTATCAGCATGAAAATTAAAACTCTTATTCTGCCTGTGTTTACTTAAAGTCAAGTAAGCTGATGTTATCTGTTACAAATTGTTTAAAATAATAGTGATAGTTTGAAAGGATGACTAACTTTGAAGTCTCAAAGTTTTTATGGGTAGTCTAAGCATAATTGTCAAGAACAAGTAAATTAAATAGATGTAAATAAGATAAAAAGTTTCAGGTAAACTTTTTAAATAGTTTCTCCAAATCTTTTTGTAACCTGAAAGTTTAAAGTTTTGCTAAGTTAAATAATTCATTTAATATCTAGTAACTCATTTAATTAATTTAATTTAAATCATTTAATTTTAAATTAAATTTAATATCTCACTGCCAAATATGATAAAATTATAAAAATTGAGTATTGGACATAGGTTTCTCTACTTTTGTTTTAGTACAAAGAAACTAAAGATAAACTTGTGTCTGTTAGAAAATAGGTTTTGAGCCCATTAATGAAAGATTGTACTATAAAGAAACACATGTTTCTAAATTATGAAATGTATTTTTTTTAAGATTTTATTTATTTATTTGAAAGAGAGAGAGCAGGAACCACCAGAAGGGGGAGTGGGAGAGGGAGAAGCAGGCTCCCACGGAGCAGGGAGCCCGATGTGGGGCTTGATCCCAGGACCCTGGGATCATGACCTGAGCCGAAGGCACTTAACAACTGAGCCACCCAGGCGCCCCTGAAATGTATTTTTTTTAAAGATTTTATTTATCTATTATACTTGAGAAAGAGAGAGCATGCAAGCAGGGGGAGGGGCAGAGGGAAAGGGAGAGATGTCAAGCAGACACCCTGCTGAGCACGGAGTCCCACATGGCTCAATCTCATGACCCGGAGATCATGACCTGAGTTGAAACCAAGAGTCCAACGCTCAACCGACTGAGCCACCCAGGCGTCCCAGAATTATGAAAGGTATTCATAAATTTACCAATCTAAAGAACTCTAGTGTAACAGGTCACAATTGCTTACTTCTTAGTTTTCACTAGAAATTAAGGTTTCTAAGAGTTAAGCATTCTAATAAATGTAGTAATTAAGACGACTGGAAATAATAAGGGAAACAACTCTATATACAAGGAAAATAAGGTATGTGCTTTTCGTAAGAAAAATATATGAAGAATGGGAACACATTTTCATTGAGGGAAAAGAAAATAATTTTGTCCTAAAGTGAGGCTGGTTATAAAAGAGGAAAAACTTAGGACAAAATCTGAATGTAAAAAGAAAATTATACAGGCATCTGGATTGCTCAGTCGGTTAAGTATCTGCCTTCGGCTGAGATCATGATCCCAGGGTCCTGGGATCGAGTCCCACATCAGGCTCCTTGCTCAGCAGGGGTCTGCTTCTCCCTCTCCCTCTGTGCTCACTCTCTCTCTCAAGTAAATAAATAAAATCTTTAGAAAGAAAAAAGAAAGCTGTAAAATATTTATGAAAAAAAAAAGAATCTTTGGAAAGAAATTTATGTGGTCAGTAATGGACACTTAGAATAAATTTATTTAAAATGAGTTTTAGGGGTGGCAGCCTGGCTCAGTTGGTGGAATGTGCGACTCCTGATCTCAGGGTTGTAAGTTCCAGTCCCATGTTGGGTATAGACATTACTTAAAAATAAAAATCTTTTATTTTATTTTTTTAAGATT